TCACAAAAGTCTGCTTCCATCTCTACTCCAAATTTCTAACCAAGGTGATGGTATCCCCATTTCACCTCAGTCTGACACATTCATCTCCCCACCTTTTACTGCGAGCCATGTGCTTCCCCAAGACACTCCTCGCTCCACTACCAGGGTGCTCGCATTCCACCTTCAATAGACCTGCCCCTTTCGCACTTCCCCCTGCCTCTTTGTTGCCATTGCAGACTTCTGTTGAAGCTGTGTACTTTACTCACAATGTATTTCCCTTTGGCTCTGCCACTGTATTACTGACTGCTTTACTTTGTCACATGTTCCTCTATTGCCAGCAGTCATGGCTCATTCCACACAGGCTTATGTCACTGTGTTGGCCTTACTTGTGGAGATTGTGTGATAGGACATTTTTTGTGTGGTAAGTTGGTCTTCTGTCCATACCTTTGATACAAATGCTATCACCCCCACTGCATTGGCAGATGTTATCATCAGACGAGGTGTTTCACATGGTGACTGCTATCAAGCCCTGGTGTATACCTCTGCTCTGAATACTGCTCTCTACTGCAATTGGAATCCACATAAGGGCCATCACTCAGAAGAAAAAGAGAAGGTGACTTACTGCAACCTGCAGTTCCTCAAGATGTGTGGTCCCTGTATGGATTCCAGTACCCATCCTCAATCATCTCCTCTGTGGGCTCTGTGCTCTTGCATAGACCTGGAGTGTGGTTGACCCGCATATCATGCGGTTTACATGTGATGCACGTGCATTTCAACGGACACTGCTATGAACAGCTCTGGTGCAGTGTGTGCATGTACACCCATAATTGGAATCCAGAAAGAGAGTTACAGTAAATACACACCCAGAAGTGGCAGCTCAGGTCACCTTATCTCATAAGTGGTTTCATATCTGCCCACCTCCTCCCCCGTAAGCCACTGAAGGTGAAATTAGTGATTATTTCAGAGGAACAGGCCAGCATGATACTGGTTATCTTTTGCTTGACACTTAGACTTGATTTGAATATAACTGGAGCTTTCTGTCAAGATACCAATATGAAAGAACATAGTGTAATGAGGGAATAACCTACATCAAAATTACATGCTGCTAAAATAGTTGGCCTAGCATACAAAGAAGGACCTTGTTCATTTTTTCGAAGTAAGGATAAACATCATCCTAGCATGTCAGTGGAGACTCATTGATGTCTGTGATTCACCTGAATGAGGTTAACATTCTGGTGTTTAAAAGGGATGCATCTGGACCAAGTTAGCTGAAGTAAAGCACTTTCTAGCGTTCCTTGCCTTAGGAAAGGCAAGTCTGTAGCTGCAAGAAATCAGGATACATCTTTTAATCACTGCTACCAGTAAGGCTCCTCCAGACTACCATTTTTATCAGTCTTTCAGTAATACACAGGTTTTTGTTGAGATCTTGACTGATGTGCAAGAAGCTTTTCTAAATCACTTTTCAATGAAGTATTTAAAAAGCGTTTATATTGTTTTTTAATAATTTACATTTTAAATTTGAAAGAACTCCATATGTTCAGGCCTAAGCTTCCTATAATCAATTAAAATTATTTTAATTAAATAAAATTAATGTTTAAAAGTATATATTTGTTTGCCGATTTTTTTTAAAAAGCCCAATAACTGCACAGGTGAAAAAACTGGGTAAATGTCTGTTTGTAGAAATGCTATACCAGATTTTAACACCAGTGGTCTGTCCTGCAGGTGCAGATAGAATACTTTAAATTCCATTTATAAAGCTAGGTCAATTCAATGATTCATTAAAAGTAAAGAAATGTGAAGTTGAAAAAACAGGAAACACAACTATCATCTTAATTAACAGAAAGGACCAAATTTAGTGTAAAATCTATGTGAGTTGCAGATGAACACAATTTCATGGTTACCAGCCTATGAGAATCTGCTTTCTTTGAGAAAATAATTAAAAACTATAAATGCAAGATAAGATTAAAATTATTATTTAAACCAAGGCTTACTGATTTAAATCATGATAAAAATCAGTGATTTGCATTGCTTTGATTTAAATCAGTCCACTTTTGTCTGTGCCTCTTCTTATTGAAAGTAACTTACCTATTTACCACATATTTGGCCAGGGGGATTTTGGAGGTTGGCATGCTCTCTCTGGAATCTCAGTTGTATATTTATCAAAGTACAGGAAGTCTCTGGGTTACATCAGTCCACGTCAGATCCCTAGTTACGAACGGGCGGGGGGGCAGGGGGGGGC